GCCTTTAATGACTCCCAAACAGTGCCGAGTGGCATCCCAGGAGTCCGATTAACATCAATAAAAAATTTCAGAAGCAAGCATATCAGCTAAGTCTTCATCAGATAAAAGTATCAGATTAAGTCGCCAAGGACGATAGCCCGATTGCGTAACAGGAACGTTCAGTTTCATTATGAGCGGACTATGATCAGAAATGACTATCGCTCCATAAACACATTCACTCACTAAAGGTAAAATCCRTTTATCGAGGAGAAAGTAGTCAATCCGTGAATAGCTCTCATGAACAGGGGAAAAAAGAATACCGTCTCAGGGTCAGATTTCGAAAACGCCACACGTCAACCACTCCATAGATATTAAGAAATGAATTAATTGACTGAGCCAATTTAGAAAGAGAGATCCTCCCCACTGTACTACGATCGAGGGACAACAGCACACAGTTCACATCTCCCCCAATTATGAGATTATGTGTACAGTTGAATCTCTTCTAAACAACTTTATTCTTGTCTCCAATCAGCTCCAGCAGCACACAGCACTGAACAGGCCTCAGAGTAAAATGACCTATGCCTTATCTGAATATACGTATAGAAACAGACTCCAGGCTGCTCTAAGACAGAGACTCCACAGAACTCACTAAAAACTTCTGTTAAAACTTATGCTCCATCAAAGTAATTCAACCTTTTAACATATGTCTCTTCCTGGCTACACCCCTGAAGGTGTTACCTTTTACATCAGTCAGGTTATAGCTAAACAATAAAGCTTACATTTAAGTATTTTAAAAAGTATTTCACCCTTTGCCATCGGTGTGTGGCTTTTGTTATTACTTCATCATCCTGTGACAAAAGCAAACACTAATGCTGCTAACGCAATTTGATATCTTGCGGGGAAGTTGTCACTGTCCGATCTTATCCGTACCTTCAGCTCATTTGCACATGAGCTAAAAGAAATATACCTCATTTGTGCATGAGCTAAAAGAAATACTTCTGGATTACCGTTAACGAACTTGATTTGGGAAAAAATAATTATGAAGGTGCACTAAATTATATTCTGTAAACTGTTTTAATATAACATACATCATATACATTTTGATATTAATAAATATAGATTTATGATGTGTACTGATTTTTTTAAATAAACTTGCAGACCAAAGTGGATCTATTTTCCTAGACATTGTTATAATTCATCAGATATCTGTTTAATTTTTTTCCTGGAATAAAAATCTACATCTTGCAAACATTCCATTCTCTATGAAACATTGCAGGTGACGAAAGACTGAAATCGAATCCATTCGGTCATCAAGCGGTCTAGCGAAATGCTACATGCTAAAATCAAAGCCCTCCCGGCTGCTTTTCTTTTAGCACATGCGCAAATGAGCTGATGGTACAAATCGTGCTTCCGGAACTGATTGGTCAGTGAAAGAAGCATTAGCAGCGTTAGCGTTCGCTTTTGTCGCAGAATGATGATGTCATAAGGAAAGCCATGCACCAACATGCTTTCCATTCTGAAATAGTTATTGTAGTCACAACATGTACGTTTAATCTTACATTTAGTTTTACACATTTAGGATTTAACATTCAGACATAACATTTAAATTTAGGAACAGTGAGCCAAATAGCACTAAAATATTAATGGAAATCTTTTAATTAAATTTTTACACTCAGAAGGTGAGYTAAGTAAAAATGTAAGTAACTTTTTTTTAATTTTATTTTACACTTGGCACCCCATAGGCACTTGGCAGGCTCCATAGTAATTTGATACAATAAACTATGAAACTTAAGCCTTGGTATTTTAGCCTAAAAGGGCCTCATTTAGCTTGTTAATGTGCATATATTACCTTCCTGAATACAGATCAGCATCATTCACAGTTTTTACTTTCATCTCTAGACACTTCACTGCTTTAGAAGTAAAGTGGTGAAATCAGCTTCAAAGTTGCAACATCTGAGATGTGCTCAGCTGTCCTCACCCATATACCACCCAGGTGGCCTCTCTCTCTCTCTCTCTCTCTCTCTCTCTCTCTCTCTCTCTCTCTGTTAGTTTTCTATCAGTGCTTGTGGCAACAAAGCACGAGAATGTGTCCAGTATAGGCAGTAAAAAGAAAGAGTTTGACACCGAGCTTCAATGGAGGCTGTGAAATTACACTTCTGCCAATTAACTGTAAAAAAACATCATGACTTAATTACCTACTTAGTTACTTGCGTCTAAGCATCTGAATTCACTTAAAGATCATCTACTTTGACAGAGGGTTATCTCATCATTAGAGCAGCCCTGAAGGTGTGTTTTTCTTTCTTTCGCGCCGGCGTCTTCAGGCTGATGATAGTGAAGCCGTGTCAGCCACAGGAGGTTTAGCTGCTTGGCCCCTGTTATAACAACTCCAGAGGAGTCTTGAGGAATGTGGGTTTGTCCTGCAGTCCTTTTACTACCCCCCCCTGTCTCTGCCTCCTCTCTGTGTCCCCTCCCTTCCCAGAAACGGGGCAATTCCTTCACTTTTCTTCTTTTCTCACAAGGCTATAGTTGAATGATTCCACTCTGGAGCACGTATCCTGTCTCAAATTGCCGGGCTCCTCAACGCTAAGGCGCTCCAACTGCTGCAAGGTATTTTTTGTTAGGGATCTCTTGATAACTAGAATTTGTTTGTGAATGGCTTTGATTGTGACTTTTCTTTCTAGAGCTCATTGTTTCAGGGAGATTATCCCCTCATRCATGGCTGCTTTTACTGATGGGGGGAACCCAAAAGCTTTGAAAAAAGTTTGGTAAAAAGCAGATASTGTAGGAAGATACAAAGAAAAGTTTTTCACATTTGTTGCTGTCTGACTTTTTGCAGTTTTAATTCCTTCAGGAAAGGCTGAAAGAAGCAGTTAGAGCTTTTTTATTCTGTTTGTGTGTGAGCGAGTTGGAGATGCTGTTGTGGGTTTCTTCATTCATAAAGTCGTGTTGGCATGCACAGATAGTTGCACAGTGGAAAATCTCATTTTCCCTCCTGTCAGCTTCCAGCAGATGACTTTACTGGCTGCTTTGAATGTATAACTTTTGGTATCAGTATACGAGTAAAACTCTATGAACCTGAAGTACAAACAAGTGTGGAGCTTTACTTTTCAGATAGAGTAAATGTAATTGTAATAAAATAGAGTTTTAGTGCAAAACTCAGGTGTTTTTGTTTGATTGTGCGGGGATCTACCTTCAGCTCTTTCTTTTGACAGCACAGTTGCTCCACATAGTTGGGCAATTGATCATTCTTTTGTTCTGCTGATCCCGCCTCCATATATTATCCTTGCCGCAGAAAAAAAGAAGCATTTGTCTCACGTATGAGAGGATTAGTGATAATAAAAGAAACCGAACGGGTCACCTCAAAGAGCAGTTTTAGAACAATGTAAACTATGATATACTGTTACACTAACAGCTTTTCGCTGCCATTCAGGGCCATATTTCTTCTCTTTTCTCTTGTCCACTTCACATATATGAGAGATGTGGTTGGAATCATGACTGCAGGGCTGGTGGAGGTTAGTTCTGCTCAAGTTGTTCATCATCAAGGGCCCCTCAGTTCACAGTTAAATCTGATGTTTGGAAGTCTGCGGGAAAGGAGAGAAGAATGATCAGAGTATTGAAGTCGGGGTGCCAGGATTGTATTGGTCTAGGCTGACAAAGCAGAAACCCAAATCTTTAAAAGCTAATACTAAAGAACAGTTTAACTGATGTTTCACACAAATAAAATGTCTTGCTCTTCCTTTTGGTTGTGAATTAAAATATAATCTGAGTAGTCTTCAGCCTTCTTCCAGTTGCTCTCATTGGTGCCCTCCAGCCCCAAGGCAACAATTTGGGTCATTCAAATATTAAGTGAGTCCTTTCTGTTACGAAGTGTGAGCCTTTTAAAATGGCATCATAACCATGACTATGTATGTTAATGAGGCGTACATTAAATACATTTGATTATTCATAGAGGTCCTTTTTCAGAATAAAAGTATGAAGGACAAATTAGGCAAAGACAGGTGTCCAGATGTGCCTAAACTGCTATAGCATCCTATCCTAATGGGGATTATTATTATTATTTTTGAAATCTGGATTTTATTATTTTTACATGATATTGCCCCTTTAAAGGGGAAATATCATTATTGTTGCATATTTTCCAAACAGAGTACTTCAGGTTTACTTGTGGTTCCTAGAGTTTCCAAAAGTAGGACTAGAATGGGAGGCAGAGCTTTCAGTTCTCAACACTCTGTCTACTTTCAAGACCAGACTTTTCTTTTTGATAAATCCTACAGTTAGGGTTGGCTTGGGTTTCCTGACCTATCTCCTGGTTTTGGTTCTGCTGGGGGTTTCTTCCTGTTAAAAGGGAGTTTTTTCCTTTTCCACTGTTGCCAATGTGATGCTCAGGATGGGAGACTGATGACGTGAAGATTCAATGCAATCTGCTGTTTACTCAGCGCGATCCCTTTTACTAATGTTAATGTGAATGTTTTTGTACAGTAGTTTACATTTGTTGTAACTTGGTGCTACATAATACTGGACTGAATTGAACATTAAAATATATAGATTAAATTTGTTGTTAATCCTGTAAAACCATGGTGGAACTGAGAGATGAATCGGTATCCTGAAGCAACAAACGCTCTTGAAGCCTACTATTGTTCTGCTGTCAGGCTGTTGGGAAGCAGTTTTTCATTTATTCTGTCTACCCATGATGCATTGTGTTAATGATGGCACCACATCCAGTTAATGCAGACAAGAAACAAAGGTGCAGCTGGCACCAACATTAACCAAAAGTTCGCCTTGTATTAAAATAAACAGCCTTTTTTTTTTTACAGAACTCTGTTTGACCAATTAATTTTTTTAAATGTTTTTTCAACTTCTAATTTCTTTTTCTTTCTCATCCTATAGCCCCTGCCCTGGAGTGCACACCAGGAACTTGGTCAGGATTCAGTTCTTGATCCTGGTGCTTAGTCTGGGGGTCCGCACAGTGAGCGCAGAGTCTGAGCAGGATCAGTAGGTGTGGGGGTTTCTGTTGGAGGGACAGCCAGGCTGACCAATGGGACCAGGGAAGCTGGCTCAGGTGCTACTTGGATGGGCGGCGGTGCTTGTCGGGACGATTCACGCAGCTTCTGATCAGACTGGGAATGGACCTTACCAGGCCAGCCGCTTCACGGGGGTAGTGGACCAGAGGGAAGTGCAGCGGGTTCGGCGCCGAGGCCAGGAAACACTGAGAGGGTGAGAAGTTGTGACTTTTGAAATTTAAAGTCAGTAACTTGGCTGGGGATGTTGATCTTTTTCATACAATATGAAGAAGACATAAGTTTAGCCAAGAACAACCAGCTGAATCTGGAGAAGGCTTTCAGCTACTCTGCTTTCTGGACTCAGGCCAGAGCTCATCTTACACTAAATGATGTTGGTGAACACTACTGCACTGTTTTCTCCAAAACACACGTTTAATGTTATCAGGCTGCTCTCCAACACTGAAACCTCTCTATGTGTTCAATGTAAATGGACATTTCAATGGTGAAGAGATGATTAAAAAGCAAGGACAGAAACTGAATAACAGGGAAATGAGGGATGAATTGACTTAACTTAAAGGCACAGTGTGTAGGATTTGTTGTTTTCAGCGACATCTAGTGGTTGAGTGGTTGAACCATCCTCCCTGGTCCTCCCCCCACCCCCCCCCCTGCTTCCAAACACAAAGGAGTTGCTACGGTGTCTCTCAGGTGTCAAAAACCTTGGATAATTCCAACTGCAATGTCTACCAGCAGCTCCAGGGCTAGTGATGTTTCAAGTGGTAAGATTATGAGCTTTAATAAGTAAAATTATACCAGCTACAATGACAGACAACAAATATTACATTTATAGTATTACAACCTAAACAGTTTTTGACGCCGCCACTGCAGTTTGTCCTTCATGAGCCTTCGTAGACAAGATGGCGGTGCAAGATGGCGGCTGCCTGTAGTGGCGACCCGCGACCATGGAGATATAAACAGCTTTTTRTAAGGTAAAAATAATAAAACAAGGTCTTTGTCTGCAATGATTAGACATGTTTTTTATTACTGTCATTAGTGATTATCTCAATTTCGGCTAAAACACTTGACAAAATCCTACACACTGTGCCTTTAATATTAAATATAATAGTTGCCTGGACAGTGTAGCATGAATAACCACGATGGCAGCGCCAATGAACTGCTGCGGCTGGGCCAAAACCCACTGTGCTAGATTTATTTTCAGTTTCTGTTTGAGCATTGTCGCTTGAAAATGATTAACATTCATCTGACACTGAGTAAAATTACTCACCTACATGTGAGCCTGTTTGGTCTAGTCTTCAGTTTGAAGACATCAATTTGTTTTAAGTGTTGCCTGCTTGTTTTTTTTTTTATGTGGATCAGGTTAATTATAACCTGTGTAAACTCATGCTCATCTCTTCCTTCTGTACTTTCACCTGAGAGTTGCACCGGGACTCTGTGGACCAGCAGCAGCTCAGTACTGGGTTCTCAGATTCTCTGGGTGGAATGTGCAGAGAGGTTAGTTTAATGATGGTCATTATTCTGACCCGGAGCTTGAGCGTAGTGTTTATTTGCTGACTAGAGCTCCGTATCCCACTGGTGCTTCTTTGGTAACAAGGGGTCCGACGCTCACTGACACTGATTTATTGGCTCTCAGCACTCTGGCAGAAATCCACTCCGAGGTGGTTTCTGATCGGACCTCGGGCTGCCTTTAATGACTTTCTGGTACTACTTGACTCAGACCTTCTGCCTGGGTTTAGACTGAGATGAGGAAAGTGTGAGGGCGTGAGCCTGTTTTACCGTTTCTCTTCTACTCGTTTCTGCTCGATGGGAGTTTCAAGTTGCTGCAGCTTTTAGATAAAACCTCACAGATTACTTCCATGGATGTTGTCTGACTTGGCAGACAGTCAGCCTGCAGCAGAAAATTACATTTAGACACTCCAGTCCCTTCCAGGATAATGACACTACCTCTACAGTGGCCTAGATGGAGCCTGTATTTACAGTCTGTTGGCTTGTTTTCAAGTAGATCAGCGATATTAGCCTATGGTAAAGAGATTAATTGTTATAAAAAAAACTAAAAAATGTACAATAGGTTGCCTTCAGGCCCGGGCCTCCCTTGAAAAAGAGATCTGAGATCTTAATGGGACTTGCCTGGTAAAATAACAGTAGATAAAACTGCAGATGTGTCAAGATTCACCCTCTGTACACTTCTACTCCTGGTTCTTCGTTCGTTTATTCCATCAACCTGTTTGCCTACTGGTTCTTTTGCTTCCGATTACCTGTTTTTTATTGCCTTGTCAGCATTTTTCTTTCATTAAAGTATCATATAATGTATCTGTCTGCATCTGGGTCCTTGTAATTTTCATCCAACATCACAAGATTAGATCTACAGATTAGGTACTCACATAGAAATAAAATACAAATTCAGGATGCTACAAGTAGCAGATGGCCACCAGTCCCCTTGTTTTAAAAGTTAGCTATTTATTTAACGTTATTTTACCAGGCAAGTCCCATTGAGATCTCAAGTCTCTTTTTCAAGGGAGGCCTGGGCCTGAAGGCAACCTACTGTACATGTTTTTAGGGGTGGGGGAAACTGGAGTACCTAGAGAAAACCCACACAAGCACAAGGAGAACATACAAACGCCACACAGAAAGACCCCAAGGTCCGAACCAGGGTTTGAACCCAGGACCTTCTTGCTGTGAGGCGTCTGTGCTAACCACTGAGCCGTCATGCCGCCAAAATCATTTTACTTTTCTGACTTGCAATTTATTAAGTTAAGTGTAAATTAGTTCAAATAATTATCTAATGGCCCTTTTCCACCAGCGTCTCAACATAACACTTCGACTTGGCTGTACTTTGTTCAGCAAGTTTCGGGTGGTTTTCCATTAAACTTCAGTGACAGCTCTAGTGGGTGGGTTCATCGTAAAGTTGGGTGGTCTCAGAGTCCGAAAATTGATGCCACACGCCTTACCAGCTGGTGGCGGTTATGCTCCATTAAGCTATTTGCCAGCCACCATTAAACATAGTAGAACAAGACGACCCCGAAAAGATACACAACACAACAATGGAGGACATGGTAGTGTCGATACTGCAAATCGTGGATCGGGTTGTTGTGAGAGTAGCTCTTGTGACGCATCCAGTGACTCCACCCCCTGACCAATCAGTGACCGACTGTCTTCTGATGCTGAGTTTTCAGGCCAACATGGTACACTTGTAACCGCCATACAGTAAGTTCTGAAAAAGGGTCTGTGTTYCACGATTCTTTACTAGTGGAAAAGCTTTGGAACCACGAAGAGCCAAGTTGAATCGTGCTGTAGAGGCACTAGTGGTAAAGGGTCACTAGTTATTTTGGTAATTAAAGCTGAATTCCTCTCTTTATGAGCGATAACGGAGCAGATCAAAGTGATTTGCAGGTTTGGGAGGAAGACAAACATAAAGTACATCTTATGTGCCAGCACAGTCATGCCTGTCAGTAATTGGAAAGGTTATGAAGTGGATTCATTCTGGTCATTTTATTTACTTTTCATGTGCAAAAGAAAGTGGACACATGACTGGTTGTATCTGCGTCCTCAACATGTGTTAAAGGCATCATGAAAAGATATTTTCATGCTCCTCAGTTTGTTTTAATGTATTGTTTCCTTCATTACTTTCTTCAGCTGCTTTTCTGACACAGATTTAAACACAAACGCGGACTTATTGTCTCAGTGATTTTGCAATGAAGACTTTTTGGGGCAATAGTGGCTCAGGAGGTAGTAGAGTTGCCTTGTAACTGGTGGGTTGCTGGTTTGAAACCCAGCTCCGTCAACAGTCTGCGCCAGGGCAGCTGTGGCTATAATGTAGCTTACCACCATCAGTATGTAAATGGGTGAATGACTGTAGTGTGAAGCACATTGGAGTCCTTGGACTTGATCAAGTACTAAATAAATTCTGTATACGTATTACAATTTCCACATACAGTATAAGACGTTTAAAATAAGTATTGATTTACTAATGCGTCTGATCTGCCTTATCTCCGTTTGTAATTGGGTCATTTTCTGTAGTTTACATTCCCACACCAACCATATTACTTAGCCTGGCCCTTGCCTTCCTTCCTACGCAGCTCCGCTCAATTTTAATTTCCCGTCACTGCTCCGTCTGGGACTTCTCCCATTGACAATGATTTCGCTGGCAGATTTTTAGCCAGGCCAATCAGAGAACAAAAAGTCAATTTTCTGTGCAGTGTCTGCTTGTAGTTTATTTTACCTGGGCCAATCAGCAAACAGAAGGAGGAGTTTTGAACGACGTCGATGTTCTGCACAGTGTCTGCTAGTTATTTTAGCATACKGCAGTGAAGGAAGTGAATGAAGCCAGTCTGTGTTGATAAGGCTTCAAATTAAATTAAATYTGTCTGACAAAGCAGCAGCCCTCATTTACAGTCGTCTTGTTCGGCTCGGTATATTTCTCCTCAGTAGGGTTGTTTACAGCACAATGATTTCCGGTTAGCTTCTTAGCTTAGCCTCCTTCACACCGACAACACACACATGCTTCAGCAGAGGCCACACCTCCTGCAAGAAACAATTCTCTATTCATAAAGTCCAGACCCTTGTACGAAGCAAAGTGAAGGACAGGGTCTGGTTTAAACCAGGCTAATATCACTGGATCTGAGATAAGAGCAATAAGTGTTAAAGGCAGTAAACTGGTTCAACTTTTGGCCACACAGATTGTAAAGTACTCAACTGGCTGCACCTTTCACAGTATGTTTATTTGGCAATTTTAAGCTTTACAACTATGTAAAAAAGTTTATTTTTACACTCCAACCAGTCCAACCCAGGTTCTYGAGGGCCACTATTCTGCATGTCCTACTTGTTTCTCTGCTCCAACACACCTGATTCAGTGGCTGAATTGCCTCTTCAAGTACTGTAGGAGYCTTTTAATCACCYATTCATTCAAATCAGGTGTGTTGGAGCTGACAAGCCTTTAAAACATGCAGGATAGTGGTCAGGATTGGACACCCCTGGGCCCTTATCCATCCCCTCAGATCTCTAGGAAACGTACCTTTGAACAATTTTACTGTTTTAGGAAAGCACAGCTGTTTCCTTTTAATTACCATTTAAATCAACAAGCGAAGGCTTTTAAAAGGCATCAACCTGGCTACARGAGATTATTTTGTCTTTTTGAGCCCCTTGAAGAGTAGAACATTTTAAAATTGAGAAAAATCCCTGGCTGATACTTCTAAAGCCTGTTGTTTGTGATAAGAAAACAGGCTAGAGAAGGAAAATCAGACCAGAGTTTCTGACTTTAGGGTCAGACCTTCTAACATCAGAACCAGTAAAGCCCAACTTAATTAAAGAAATACATATTTTTAGTTTTTTTATTTTACTGGTATTTAATTGACAACATTGGGCAATTTATTTKGTTAAAACCTCCCTTTTCCCCCAGGATAGAATAAATTTTGTCCTCAGGCAGAAATAGTCTAGACTAAAGAGATATGAATCTTGAAGCAGATGACTTTACCATAAGCATCTGGATCGGACTTTACCCAATTTACTATGCTGGGGTCCGTTGGTTTTCTAGTCRAACCATCAGTAAAAGCAAACAAGGAACCACCAAATCTGATGACCACAATTATATRCCATTACACACCCCGAAAGGTCCCTTGGCGTGACGCACAATCCTAAACTCACTTCCATAAAGTACATAGATTTGGAATTAATGCATATTTATTACTGCCTTAAAATAAACCAAGTCAAAGGCAGGTTTGTAATTATTACAGGATGACAAAAACAGCCGAGTCATAACATGAGCTTGTAAAGCAGCTGCAGGGCTGAGTCTTCCTGCATGTTTATGTGTGTTTGTGAGTGTGTGTGTGTGTGTGTGAGCCGAGTCAGTCATTTTTAGATGTGGTTTAGCCATTTCCTCTGAGAGAAACTCTGTGGCGAACCTGTCAGGCCAATCAAGGCCTCCGAGCGCTGTGATGAATCTTACATCTGTCAAACCGGGGCAAAGTTTGTTGCTGGCTCTCCGTCAATAAAAATCAGAGCYGTCTGAAAGGTTTGGTCATTATCAAGAGAACAGGACACCCAGGCATCAATATTTAGCCTTATTTTCTGGGTTTAGAGTTCAGGATTGAAAAAAAAACCAAAGCATATTTCCACCCCTCCCTTTTTTTCTTCCTAGAAATACCTTCATCCATCATTTAAGGAGGCTTTGTGTTCAACTCTGCTTTCTTTATTCTGAAAGCCTTGATTAGCTCAGAAAAAAACTAATAACTGTTTATCTGTTCAGATTTTTTTTCTTGTTGAAATATGTTTGAAAAGGTGAATAATAAGTTTTTTGCTCATTTTTTTTTTGTGTCTAACAGACCCAATGTGTGCGGCTCCCGCTTCCATTCATACTGCTGTCCAGGCTGGAAGACTCTGTCGGGGGGGAACCAGTGTATTGTTCGTAAGTCTTTCCAACTTCTAATAGTCTTTGGTCAAAATGCACAAACTGGAGACGAGACCAAAGTGGATGAATCTGAGTTTGTCTCTTTTTTTTTCTTCCTCTTCAGCGATCTGCAGGAATTCATGCGGCGATGGCTTCTGTTCCAGACCCAACATGTGCACCTGTTCCAACGGCCACCTCTCTCCCAGCTGTGGAGCGGGAGCCGGAGGTGAGTTCTGCTTTCGCCACAAACAACATGCAGTTACTGCAGCTCAAACATCCAAACATGATCACAAGATGGTACCAAACAGAAACAAATCAACTACATATTTTGCAGAAAAAGTAAAACCTGTTTCTGGAGCTTTAGCACTTTTTATCCATATGCAAATGTCATTTTTGTTGAGAAAATTTTGATTATTGCACAATGTTTCCAAAGCAAAGTGAAGACTTTGAAAAAAACTATTGTGCACTTCACACATGCTCATTAATGCTTTGTGGGCACAAAATAAATAAATAAATAAATAAATAAATAAATTCTGCAGCTGGCTCACGTTTTGACTGTCATCGTTAAGAAGGTTAATTATTGAGAAAAAATAACAGTAAATGGTATTAAAAAAATCAAACAACTACAGGTAAGGGTGTCTCAATACCAGTTTTTCTCAAATCGAGTATGATTACTTCAGTTTGGGTACTGAGTACTTACTAAATTAGTACTTAAGCATTACACAATGGCTTAAAACCCAGTTTCTTTGATTTAGAACCAAGTGGTTCTTCTTCAATATAAACCCCTCTACAGATGTCTTGGAAAAATCTTTAGTCAAGCTCAAAATGGTCTTTGTAATTTGATGTGATTTTAATGCCAGCATCATCTCCACCTACTGGCACAACCTATATAATATTTAAAAAATGTATTTACGTCAAACAGAGTAAAAAATATCCACCATATGTACAACTGTCTGGTTTAATTTGTTGATAATTACCTCTGCCAAAGTGTGATTGGTCAGAAGTTCGTGGGAGTGTGTGTTTGTGATGAAAGCGCTCAGACGCTGTATTTTGCTTCAACCACTCGCTTCAAAGAAAAAAAAAGTCGACTTGCTTCATGATCCGACTGTACCAGGAACAGTTTATAAAGACAGTGAAACAGTTAAAAACTCATAAAAGGGGATAAAACAGATGTTTTTCACAGTGGAATCTGACTGTTGAAAACATTGGAGCTTAATCCGGCACCAGTTTGTGGATGAATAACATCGGGTGACAAGAATGACTTTTTTTCGCATTGGATTCCACCGGGAAGAAACCCATTCGTACTGCCTGCTTAATGTTCGCTACGTCAGAACTTATTCAGCAAATATGTTTCCATCTCTCCTTTTGCACATTAACTCTATTGCAGGATGGGGGAAATTGGCCTTGGTGGAGGTTTGCACTCTCCGAGTGCTTCTAGTTGAAGATATTTTACCTTTTGCCTCAAAGCTAAGGTTGTACATACACACCCCAAATGTATACACAGTCTACAGCTATCTTTGTGGGGACACTGCATTGACTTCCATTAATTTCTACAGCCTAACCCTGACCCCTGATCTCTGACCCTAAATCTAACCTAACCTCAATTCACACCTTAGTCCTAAACCAAACTTCCGACTCACCAAAGGCATTTCTCCCGATGGTGACTGGGCTTAGGTCCCCATAAATACCAGTTGGTCCCCACAAGTAGGGGTGTGTGCCAAAAATGGTCCCCAAATAGGTAGCACCTGCCCGCACACTCTAACACACACACGTACGCACGTTCATTTGTGTTTGGTAGACTATTTCTCTGTTGTAACAATGCTTCTTGGGGCGGCTGTGTCAGGTTAGGGGAGTCGTGCTGTAACCAGTGGGTTGCTGGTTTGACTCCCCATCCATCCATTGTTGTGTCTTTGGGCAAGACACTTCACCCGCCTTGCCTTCTGGTGGTGGTCAGATAGTGGCTGGTGCATGACAGCCCCGTCTCTGCCAGTCTCCCCGATGGCAGCTGTGGCTACAGTGTAACTCACTTCCATCATCAGTGTGTGGTTGTGTGTGTAGATGGGTKAATGACTGAAGTGTAAAATGCTTTGGAGTCTGACAGGACTTGATAAAACGCTATATAAGTTCAAGCCATTTACCATTTCTTGGCAAAAAATCTCAATGTTAAATGCTGCCACATTTGTAAGGAACATGCATTTGTGGGATGAACAGTAGAGCTCAGTATGTGGTTTGTGCACAGAAAAGATTTGCCAGATCTTCTCTGCCAAACAGTCTATTTTGCTGTTTTTATTGACTCTTGTTTTGAGCTTCTGGTACCTCCAAGTGTTCCCAGTCAGGGGCACATATAAGATTTATTGCCAAGAAGCATTGTTACAACAAAGACATAATCTACCAAACACAAATTTCCTTACTTTATGCGTTAATTTTATGTATTTTATCAATCAGTATGAAGTTTGCAACCTATTAAACAGAATCCAGGGACATTCTTTAAATCTGGTCTCATTCAAATTGAGTTTAGGTCTCATTTAATTGGTTCTACATTTATTAGTATAAGAGCCTAAACTCCTGTATTGAGTGTGAAAGTAACAAAGTCACAGGTCTGAAGCACAGCCGTTAGGTCACAGGGTTTGTCAGGATTGAAAATTGAAAATCTGGCTCCCGCAGCTCAATCTGCTGGGCTTCGTTACAGACCACTCAGGATGTGTGTTTGGCCTGAAGTGAAGTGTTTTGTACAAGCTGTGTGTGAAATCATGTTGGGCTTTATGAGATTATTACAGTGTGTGCAGTGTTTCAGTATAAATTGTTACGTGTTGGACATCGTGAAGACAACCTCTGCAGGAGCACGCGGTCTGCGCGTTTGTGTGTGTGTGTTTGTGAGCGCGTGCGCTCAGCTTCGCTGCTTTACTCATTCGGCGTCAGTTCATCAGTCATGCCTGGCCCCCATCAGACCCCCTGACTCATGCTCACATTCCACCGAGCCTACAAAGTCACACATTTTCACTCACAAACTGATTGGTACACACAGATAGACGTATGCACAGATGCTTACATTTAAACAGAAACACAGAGAGGAAGGGTTTTGGCTGTGACCCAGATGTGGAAATTAGGATTCGCTCCGGCCGTAAGGAGGGACGGCCCTTAGAGGAATGATATGGGGGTGGGGGTGGGCAGAAACTCCCAGATATCCTCCAGAAGCAGGGTTTTTGCTAAAKCTGGGAATCCATGACCCTCAGAGGCAACCAGCAACCAAGAGCTCAGCGATAAATTCCTGTGACAGCTTATAGCAAAGCTGCACTGAACTTACACTGTAGAATTCTCCTCAGCACAATCTAAATATTAGATTATTTGGAACTTGCTTCTCGTTTTTTGTGATATTAACCTCCGACACTATCGATCCCAATAAGAAAAAAACAACGTTCTTGTTCAAACTTATTTCGCCAGTTCCAAATTCAACAGAGTAATTCAGCGCAGTCGGAAACAAATTGCAGCTGAATGTAGACCCATTTTCAAAACACCCATTTAATTATCTTTAACTAAATAACTTGCTTCTGGCACCCTGGTTGCTGGATTACAGATGACATATTTATATCTCTTGTCTTGTGCTCGTGGAACACATTAACACCACATTTGATGTTTCATTTATACAGTCATCTTGTCAGCATTTGATTCGTCCACATCGCTAATCAGCAGAAAAGTTCATTTCAGTGAAAAGACAAGGCAGTTTTGTGAGCAGATGAATCACGTTGCATGAATTACCCATCAATCCATGTAGCTACAGGGACGAGAAAAGTTCAAATTGTGAGCTATTTGTCTAATAAACACATTTAGGACAGAGCAGCTGTTCTGAGGATTGTATGGGGTTGTCCTTATAACCTCGTCTCCCTGTAAGCATTATTTCAAAATCACGAGGGATGTTCTTGTCTTAATGCTGAGAAACAGCTGTTTTTAGTCTGACTGGATTCTTAGAAACAGCAGTGAGCCTCAAGAAAGTAAAAAGGGGAGCTTTCTAATGACAAACCATTTCACTTCAACATACTCAGTCTTGTCCACAAGGTAATTCTCTGTCTTTTAGGTATGTGGGTTAGCAAACATTACTTTTGTCCAAACAGAAAATTGAGGATGTGTTTGGTGCAGAGTTAACTCCAATGAAAACCAGGGGGGTAAACTGTATGGAAAGACGTCTTTGCACTGTGGCTGGATTGTCACAACTCATCAGTTTTACATCGGAAAACCTTGAAAAGACATGCACACCCCAGGACTTCCTGTGTTTCTCAGCCTTTCTTGTAAAAAGAAACTCAAAACACCCAGATGTGAGTAGCTCAACACCAGCTAGAACACAGAAGTGTATTGTATCACTGTAATCCTGTTTGCTCATAATCTGGAACAGGGATGGGCAACTTAAATGATGTAAGGAGCCACAATTTTTTGTTGACACTACCAGAGACTCCTGTGTGGTAAAGAGTCTCTGTTGTTTATGTACTTGTGACTTCAGGAAACTTCTCATATTTAGCTTTGTGCAACGTGTTGCAGTGGCGACATATTAAAGACAGATAGATAGATAGGTAGATAGGTAGGAAGGTAGGAAGGTAGGTAGGTAGGTAGGTAGGTGGGTAGGTGGGTAGGTAGGTAGGTAGGTAGGTAGGTAGGT